GCGCGTCGGCGCAGCGAGGCCGGCAGCTCCCGGCCCTCCGTGCCATCGCAGGCGCCCTCCTTGCCCACCGAGTGGTCTGGCTTGTTTTAAGTCCACTCTGTCCTGCAGCAGAGGACACGCCCCCCGCCTCCCGGGCCGGCGGCCGGGGCGCAGCCGGCCCTCCCCAGACCATCTCTGCGGCCCGGCCCCTCAGGTGCCACTGTCCCGCCGCCACCGCCGCCTCTGCTGTTTTTCAGGTGTCCTAGAAAAATGTTTTAAATTGTCATTAGAAATAGAACTTTTAGGTTAAAAATATTGAATAATCCTTTGATTGGAGGATATTATATGTAAAAGTTTTTCAAAACTATTCCCTGAACAGCCTGATTTTTCTTGGGCGTCTTTGCACACCCTGAGCCTCGAGCGGCCCTCATGTTAGACCTGCGCCCTGAGGGCGCGGGGGGTCCGGGCGCCCCGGGGAAGCCTCTGGCCGGGGTGGGGGGCCCGGGGTACGCCACTGGGTGAGGGTGGGCACAGAGCGCCGGGGGAGGCCGTGCTGGGCGCCTGCCCCCGCCCTCTGAATCTGAGGGGCCTGGGCCCGTGGGTCCCTCCCCACCACAGCGGACCACACGGCGGAACTGGGGCAGGCGCAACACTTGACGAGGTTCCCAGAAGGCCGTCACACCTTGCAAAATACGGGTATAACAGCTTTCCCCCCGAGTCTTTGAGTTTTTCACGTCTTAAAAGACGCAGCAACGACATTCAAAGAACATTTTGGAGAAAAGAGTGGCCTCAACAGCACCTTCACCTGGGGCAGCCTCCATCCCTGCATCCGCCCATCCCTGTCTAACAACAGCTGGACCCGCGCCACCGGCCACGTGCTGTGAGCCGGCCCCGCGCGCCTGCTCTCAGTGCCCCCGGCTCCCAGGGTGCCAGCGCGGGGCCTCTGGTTCCGTCCCTTGCCCCCGGCCCCCATTCTGCCCTTGCAGCCACGACCCGTGCCGCTGGGTCTCTGCCGTTTTCCCGTGTCTGTGTGTCGTCATTTGCCGCGCTGCCCTGCGGGCAGCCTCAGTGGGCGCGTAGATGTACACGGTACACTGTGTGCGCCCATCACCTTTGCCCGGACTGCGTCACGGAGGCTCACGGCGACCCCGCGAAGCGCCCTGAAGAGGGGGACAGGGCTGCGGGGCCAGGAGATTCGCCCAGGCCCATGGCGCTGAGAGCCTCCTTCTGAACGGCCAGGGCGCCCCTCCCTGCGACGTGGGCCGTGCCCACCGATGCCCGCGGCCGTGCGTGGGGGGGACTCTGGCCATGTAGACCTGGGGTGCAGGTTTGGTTGTACAACAAAGGTCAGGGTAGCAAGGGTGTGATGTCTTCTGCGTGTTTCTTAGTATCAGCAAGGAGTCAGTGAGCCGCCTGACTCCCCGGCAGCACCCTGGGGGCAAGGGCAGGCGCTGGGCTCCTCCTGAAGGGCGAGAGGGAGGTGAAGGTGAGGGGCCGCCGGGCCACTTAGCCTCAGGGCTGGCCCCGAGCCAGCCCCGCACGGTGCTCTTCAGCCTGGTGCCGCACAGGGCGGCCCCGAGCGCGGCTGCGTCAGGGCGGGAATGCCCTCGGAGCGAGCTCGGCCGAGGCGCCGCGCTGCCACGGGCCCGTCTGCATTGTTCACGTCTGCGGTTCGAGCAGGTTCATGGTCGCGCGGCCATTGCCCGACTCGGGTTGAGAACACGTGTGTCACCCTGGAAGCCACCCGTGCCCAGGGGACGTCGCTTGCCTGCCCACCCCCTGCCCTCTGCAGCCCCCCCACCCCCGCCTGCCGTCTCTGAGCCACGGCGAGGGTTTTGCAGCAGCGGGACGGGCTCGGCTTGCCAGGGCCCGTGGTGGCTTGTCCGGAGCCTCTGGCAAGCGTGCGCTGTGCGTCTGGCTCTCGGGCGACGTGGACGCACCCGCGAGGGCAGCCTCCGTCGGGGAACGTGCTCCTGAAAACCGCAGGGAGGGCCCAACCAGAACCACGATATTACGGGGAGCGTAATTGGCAAACTCAGCCGCACCCGAGGGCGTCCCCCCCTCCTCCCAGGCAGGGGAGCGTACGCCTCGGGGTGAGTTTTGGGAGCGTGGGTCAGGAGGTGCTTTTGAAATAGCTATTGCAGCAAATAACAGGGAAGTGTCTGTCGTTAAACCTTCATTGGAAACGTGCCTCCCAAGGGAAATGGCCCCGCCAGTGCCAGGCGGTGGTGGTGTCGGACGTCGCTGCTCGTGATGCGCCCAAGCCCCTGGCCTCGGAGGCGGCCCGGTCTGCCCGGACCTCAGTCTGCGTGCACACGGCGTCCGGAGCCTCGGTTTCGCGGCCCAGACGGAACCTCGCGGGCGACCGCTGATGCTCAGGGCGCACCCTCTGGCGAGCGAGCAGGTCACGCCGCCCTCCCCCGGCACCTGCCTGGAGTTTCCCGGGCCTCCCCCCACGCGCCGGCGGGCGCTCCTCAGGCAGACGGCAGGCGGAGGGGTGGGGGGCAGGGACAGTCCGGACGCTGCGCCCCGGCCTCCCTCCCTGCCCCGCCCTCTGGGCCACGCGCCGTCCCTTGTCTTCGCCCTCCCCCGTGTTCTCTGACTCCCCATCTGCCGTGCGCCCTGTCGCGGCCGAGCCACACCCGCCTCCTGGTCGCCCCGACGACTGCAGCGGGATACGACCTCATGGCTGCGCAGGGCCTTCCACGGTGCGGGGCAGCGGCACCCCGCGTGGCCCTCGGGCAGACAGGGCAATGAAAACGTTGTTCGTCGGCAGCAGTTAAAGGCAGGGCCACGTGGCAAAGGCCTCGGAGACTGTCCTTGCTTACTTGTCACTCTTGTGCCTTTGCAGCCGACACTGTGCAGTGGGTGTGCACGCACGTGTGCTCCCCCGGTAGCCCCCTCGCCTGCCCAGCGCACCCGCGTGGAGTCCCGGCCACGTGTCTGGCTCCACACGCTTTCCTTCCTCCCTTGTGCTGGGGACGCCCAGCCCACCCTTGGGCAGGCGCAGGGGGGCCCGTGGCCCGCGACTGACAGAGGCGGGCAGGGCTCGGGGTCTGGCGAGACCGCAGGCCTCGGGAAGCACCTCAGGAAAACGCGTGCTGTGACTTTCTTGCCGGGGGGCTGACGGAGGAAGTTCCTGCTGGGCGCTGGGGAAACGCAGGCCGGGGAGGACGTCGTGGCTTGTGTAACCGCGGCTTAAAGGAAGAGCGTGGCAGAGTGGTTTTGGAGAGCCCTAGGGTGCAGAACGCGGGGGTGCTGCCGTTTGCACGTTACAGGACCCCGCTGCCTCTCCCAGAGCCCAGAGAGCACCCCGCCAGGGGCAGTGCCGGGAAGGCTCACAGGCCCTCTGTTCCGAGTTTGGGTTTGGAAACAGAAATGCAGAGCCTGTGGGTCTGATGGTACCGGGGGCTCCGTGCCGGCGGCCGGGCACCCCTTCGGGACAGCGCACGGCCTGCTCAGCGTCTGGGAGGAGCAGGGCCGGCAGGTGGAGCCTGAGGGGCCGCTGCCTCGCTCCGTGGGATGCGGCGGCTCTCAGGGCAGGTGCGCGCACTGCTGAGTCAGAGCGGGAGCGGCGGGTCTCCGAGGGGAAGGCGCAGGGGAACCCCGAGGCCACCGGGGCACCTTCCGCAGCTCCTCTGATCTGGTCGCTGTGTGACCTGCTCTTAAATCTTGCTTGAGTTTTGGGTGGTTTTTTTTTTAAGATTTTGTTTATTTATTTTTAGACAGAGGGGAAGGGAGGAAGAAAGAGAGGGAGGGAAACATCTATGTGAGGTTGCCTCTCACGCGCCCCTCCACTGGGGACCTGGCCTGCAACCCAGGCCTGTGCCCTGCCTGGGAATCAAACCAGTGACCCTGTGGTTTGCAGGCCGGCACTCAATCCACTGAGCCTCACCAGCCAGGGCAGGTCTTGTTTTTTAAAGACTAGTTTCCTAAGAGAAAAAGGGGATGCAAATGAAGAGGTGTTTGCTGTGTCCATGGGAGGCTGGAGGCACGTTTGCTGTGCAAACATTGCCGCTGAATTGACAGAGCGTCAGGAGGGGCCGGCGAGGCCCCGGATGATCCTGGATGATCGAGCTGCACCGTGGAAGGTGGCTGCTCGTCCCAGGGGTTCAGCGGCGCCCTCCGAACACCTGCCTCTTTAATGAAACCGGCTGGACACGTGCCGGCGGCGGGGGTTTCCATTCTTTCCGAGCCCCCCGCCCCTGCTCTTCGCAGAGAGCCTTTCCTAAGCGGCTGCCGCAGGTGGGCCATGCCGCCTGCCTCGTGTGGGCAGCCTGCTTTCCTGGAGGTTCTTGATTTTAACTAAGCCACGCAGTTAGCGCCTCGCTGATGGCTGGTCGGCTCAGATGCCGGGCGGCATGCTGCGTCTGTAATGCCCCGACCTGGCAGGGACAGGGTCCTCGGAGGGGGACGCCCGGGGGCCCACGTACGCGTGTGGTGCGTTGGCCCCGGCCGCCAGCAGGTGCTGGCGCATTCGCATGCGGCCGTCCGCCACGGAGAAAACCGGGCCCCTGGTTCTGGACCCCAGAGCTGCCTGGGTGGCCAGGCGGCCGGCGGTGCTCGTCCCGTCCCGGCCCCAGGCCCCGGCCAGCGGCCCTGGGCGGTGTGGCGGCCCCGGCCGTGCCCCAGTCGCTTCATGTCTCTCGGTCCCTAACGTCACCGCAGCCCCTGTGCTCGTGGCTCCCCGGCTTCCCACGAGCGTTCTCCGTGGGGCAGTGAGTCGCATGCGGTGTGGCCGGAAGAAGCTCTGTCTGGACCCTCCGTCAGGGGTGACATCCCAGGCGCTTGTCTGGGGACATTCAAATCTCGGCTGTTCACGTGCACAAAGGGAAACCAGCGTCGCACTAGTGGGGGTCCTGGTGAAGGCAGAAGAGACGCGACATTAGCGCAGCCAACTGCAGGGCGGCCACGAGCGCCACGTCACGTGGTCCCCGAGACTGCGGTGGACCCGGGCGTCGCTGCCACGCGGTCCTTCTCCTCGTTCGCCTCTGGGCCTCACGCCGCGCTCTCCCCTGCAGGTGCACCTTCCGCTTCCCCAGCACGGCCATCAAGATCCAGTTCACGGCGCTGTTCCAGCAGGAGGAGGCCCCGGCCTCGCCCCTCCGGCCGCTCTGCCCGCAGATCTCCCCGCTGAGGATCCACATTCCCGAGCCCGACCTCCGCAGCCTGGTCAGCCCCGTCCCCTCGCCGACCGGCACCATCAGGTGAGCCGCCGTCCCCGGGCCCCCGGGAGCGCCTGCCGCACGGCTCTGCGCCAGAGCGGCCTCGCGCCCGCGCAGCTTAGGAACGAAGGACGTGCGCGGACATTCCGCAGCTCGTACGGTGTGTGACGTGTGTCCGGAATAGCGCGTGCGGGCAGGGATTCTGGGACTATTGTAAGAGCATCAGGGGACCTGACTCTTTGAACAGGTCTCTGGAGAATTCTCCCTCAAGGGAGCCACGAGCTACTCCATCACGTTGCCAGTTAGGTGCTTTGTGTATTGGGGCCCCTTCGAGTGAGCACAGGCATTGTTTTTTAGGACAATGAAAATATTTTGTCGCAGTATTTGTATAGCAGCACTTGCTGAACTTTATGGAAATTCTTTGGGAAGTTTTAGAAATTAGCCTCAATTCTGAAGGAAAGGAAGTCCCCGAGCTTTCTCATCCCTGGCTGCTGGGCGCAGCCCCAGCGAACGTGCCCCCAGAGGTCTGTGCGGCCGGTGAGCGGGCGGCTGTGCTGGTGCCGGGGCCCTGTGCCCAGCGTCCCGCCTCTGCAGCGGCCCCGTGCCGCCCGCCCCTTGGGCGTGACGTGGGAAGACACGCACTTATTTGCAGGTCGCGATGTAATACATTTTAAACTAGTTTACTGCTCCACTGGGGACATTTTAAACAAAACTGGCTTCTTTTCCTTTTCTGCACGTGTGGCCCTGGCACAGCGTCTCCGGCAGGGCTGGGCGTCCGGTGCGGGCGGCCCGGTGCGGGGGTGGCGCACGGTGCGCCTCTGCCGCGCCCTCGGGGTCTCGGGCGCGTCTGCGAGCCGCCCCAGCGGCCCCGCCACGCCGGCGGCTGGCTTGCTGTCCCTCTGTGTCATGAGGCGCCAGGCCCACCTATTGCTCACAGCCCGCGCCTCGGTGGTCCCTGTGTCCTCCCTTTCCACGGTCACATTGGGAACCACGTGCTGGGAGCTCTTTGTGATAATCAGAGCGTCACTTGCACCTTTGTTTTCTGCCCATGACACATCGGTCACACATTGGGAGCTGCTGGCGTTGGGTTATTTGGAGTCGGTCCCTCCAGAGGCGGTTGCATAGGCATGTCTTTCTTCTGCCGAGAGCAGGTCCGGGGACAGCACTGAACGTGGCCCACATCCCACGTCTGGGGCCCGAGCCCAGCTAGTGGGAGGCTGGGGACAGGTCCCTGCAGCCTCGCGGGCCTGGCTTTTGTCGTCGGTGAAGCCTGTGTGCCGTTCCCCTGTGCGGCCAGACCTCGTGATGTTTCATTTACTTGTCTGCGATAACAACGAGGAGCAACCGCTTCCAGCAGACCTCGTGCGTGGCCCTGTAGACGGTTTCTTCGCGGGCTCATTTCAATCTCTTGCAACGGCTCTGTTCTAAAGCCCAAAACTTGGCATGTATTCTCACTTTCTTCCGACATCTAACTCATCTCATGTGAACCACAACCAGGTTGCGCTATGAAAATGCGCGTGCATGTACCTGGGCACGCACAGCTCACACGCGGGAACGTCCAGTGCAGCGAGGTGAGGTGGCCACCGCTCTGGGCGCTGGTCTGGCGGCCCCTCCAGGCGTGACACAGAGCGTCACCACGTGGCCCCTGTCATGGGGCCTGCCATCACGTGGAAGCGGGGACCCCGGGGCTCACGGCCACTTCCCTCTGACAGCCCCTGGGCGGAGGGCGTCACGTGTCTCCCAGCTGACGAGCAGCGCTGGGCTGGGGGCCACCTTAAGCGGGGCGTGCGGTCCGCCCCGAGAGCCGCGGCACCCAGCGTGGGGAGTCCTCGCGAGCATTGGCCACAGGACGGAGGCCGGACACAGAGACCCTCGTCATGCCCTGTGGGTGCAACACGTGCAGAACAGGCCGCTCTGCAGGGACAGAGGGTAGGTGGGCGGCCGCCGCGCTGTGGGCTTCCTCCCGCAGGACAGCCGTGCTCTGGACGTGGGCGGCCGCGGCGGTCTCGCGGCGCTGCGAGTGCGGTAAAGCCGCTCACGGTGCACTCAGAGTGTGTGGCGTGTGTCATCAGTGAAGCCAAGGAGGACACCTCGCACTGACCCCGCTACCCGGCAGCCGCTGAGAGCAGCTGCGGGGACGTCCCCGGCGTGCGGCCAGCCGTGCAGGCCGGCGGGGCCAGGGTGCTCTCTGCCTCCCGGGAGAGCCACGGGGGCGGCGGCCAGTGCAGGGGGGCGGGATCATTAACAGCACGCCTGTAATCTGGCCAAGTAGACGCTTTTCAGGAAGTGTTTGGGTCTGTACCGGGAGAGCTTTTCGGAAAGTAAGTCTGTTTCCTAGTCATACTCCAAATAAAAATGGGACCCGCTGGTGAAGATGCCCCAGTGGAGCTCTGGTGGTGAAGCTGCTCTGCGTGAGGAGGAGGCGGCGGGTCGCGCAGGGAGGAAGAGTCGTTTTTGCTGAGCGGAGCCCAGCCGGCGTTGCCGGAACCGTCGTTGGGAAGGTCCGGCAGAGGCTGGACTGCCCGGGCGGCGCTGGGTTTATATTTAACTTGCTCTTGGGGCAGGAGATCCTAAGAGGGTGGCGCGGTCCCCACCCAGCTGGTCCCCACTCGCCCAGAAGGGACTGGCTTGTTTTCGTTTGGCGAGATATTTGCAGGGAGAGTAGTGACCGTGGACAGGCTTCCTCACTCTGGGGCCTTGAACCAAATGTCACAGAGGATTCCTGTCGACAGCTGTTTATCTTAGCCCGCACTGCAGAATTCAGCTGAGCCTTGTAGAAACCTCAGAGGCCCCTGAGGTTTGCTTCATCGGAGGGGAGGAGCCCGAGTATTTACAAACAGTCGAGCCGCCCTTCCCCCGCCTCCCGGATCCTCTGTGGGGCGTGGCCGAGGCTGCGGCGCCGCCGGGCGCCCTGGCACCCCCGCAGCAGCCAGCCGCCCGCCACCACTGGGCCCTTTCTAAGAATGCAGGCCGCGGCCCCTCCTCCGCCTGCCTCCTAATTTGGTGCGGCTGCGCCCGGCGCGCCCCATTGGCCAGCTCAGAGCCTGCAGTTTGGAGACCTTGGTCGGGGTCGTTCCCTCCCTTCCTGGAGCAGATTTTCGGTTTTTGCCTGCACCTTGCCCTGCGCCCCTGCGTCCTCCAAGATTTGGGGAGTGGCTGTACCTGTAGGAACATTCGCCCTGATAAACAGCCCCGCCCTGCCCTCCTGACCCAGCCGCCTGTGCCCTGTCCCCGTTTCTTGCTTCCCCTGGGCCGCCACGCCAGGGCGTGTGCCTTGCATTTTCTTTTCTCCTTTTTTTCACCATGAGGCGCTCCACCCAGAAAATGAATGAACTGTCTTTGAAACAAATTCCGCTGTCTTAAGCTGTGTTTTGTTGACTTCTTTTTTTCCTCATTTTGCAAAGAAGTGCTATTTACAGGAAAGAAGAAATTGGTTAATCATTTTCTGGGTATTGCAGACACAGAGGCTAGGCTGAGAGGCGCCCCTCCGAGCCAGTTTTAGGAAAGCGGCTACAATCGGCAGAGAAAAGGCACATCACAGGAAGAGAGCAACTGCATTTTGCTCATGAAAGCAAGATTTTAGAAGCTGTTTAAGAAAGCATTTCTTGATATTTCTAACAGGGAGATCGGAAAGGAGCGTCACTGGTTTATTGAGAGTTGGCAGAGGTTGGCGGGACCCAGAATCACACACCCCGGCCCAACACCAGTGCCGCGGCCGCTTGAGATCGCGACCTTCGACACAGTCCTCCTTTGTTGCTGCAGGGAACCCAGCCCGGTGCTTGTCTGGCTTTGGGTGTCAGCGCCCTCGAGGCGGGGGGTCATCAGGCCCCGGGGAGCCCAGGACTCCCCAGAAGGCGGCGGCCTGCGCTCTGTTCGCAGCCTGACCTCGCGAGGGGCGAGGTTCTCGGCTTAACCCAGGCGCACAGGCGTCCCTGCCCGCCCGTCTCAGGCCTCCCCACGCATGGGCCCCCCTGGGGGCCCTTTGCCTCCCCTCGCTGTACCTGTGGGCCCCACCACCCCAGCCCCACCCCCGCCTGGTCCCTCTGCCCCTTTGAAAACTTCAGAGAAGTGAAAATCCGCTCCTCCCCACAGAAAGCCGGGCCTCCCAGGTCCTTTGTGTTTCCCTCCTGCCTGATCCCTGCCAGGTGGTACTGGGCTCTAAACTGTTGAAGGAAAGTTGACTGGAGCGCAGACGAACTCCCGTGTCGGTTGCAGAGCCACCGGGGCTGGGCACCTGTTCTGGGCACGGCTCAGGGGCCCTCTGAAGGCGGTGCATGTTTTCCTGGGTGTGCCTGCCAGGCAACGCCCAGCCTGTGTGGGCGCCCGGCCGCCCAGAGAGCCCCTCCCAGGCCACACCTCTGGGATTTGAGGGGCGGGAGGCGCCCCCCCCAAATCTGTACAAGGGCGGGCCCCCACCTCAAGGTGCACACTGGGTTAGGGCCCGGCCGAAGCGTCACAAACCATCTACACGCATCGCGCACACGTCCGGCAGGGGGCCGAGCGCTCCCAGGGAGAGTCCCCGAGCCCTGCCCGGGGCTGAGCAGCAGGCGCGTCCCCGGCCACGCCTCCCCAGGAGGGGCACACGTGGCGTGCCCACCGCCCTGCCCCCGTGTTTCCTCCTCACTCTGTGGTTGGCACCTTTCCGTGTCACTGCATTTCAGGGCTACGCGACGGCCCCTCTCGCAGCTGCGGCGCATGTGGTCCCTCCCGAGGAAGAGGAGGGGCCTCACCCTGGCCTCCTCCTTCAAGGGGGACTTGATCGCCTTCCGCGGGTCAGCGGCACATCAGGCGTCTGACTCTGCCCCCAGAGATGCCTGGGCGCCTTATTCCAGGGCGCTAGAATTCCCCGATCTGGTCCTGTTGTTTACGATGTGCCCTTCAGGGTCAGGAGCCACAAGGCACTGAGATCGGTGATGACACGGGAACTGCCCGCTCTCAGGCCACCGTGCCCAGGCTGGGTGCTCAGCGCCCCCCCCCCCGTCCCTGCAGCGCCCCCTGCAGCGGAGGCCAGGAAGCTGCAGCGCAGAGCGGGCGGCACCATGGGGACAGTGCATGATGGTCTATTTCACGCCTGGTCCTAAAAGGCCTGTTTTGGTTATTTTTATCAAAGTACTGTCAGCACAGGGTGTGAGAATTCAGGTGATTTCCCGAGAACGCTGATGACAAGAATGGCAGTCCCCTGGCCACGCCCCGCCGGTCCGCGCCTGGACAGCCCCTCCAGCTTCTCACCGGCACGGCGCACGGACACACCCCTCGCGCCTCCCGGGGCTGCGTGTGTTGTAGGTTGGCTGCCCTGTGGAGATTCAGGGGTAGCCTTGGCCCCTATCCCATTCCCAGCAAAAGCCCGCGGAGTTTTCTTGGCTGCTTTGGCGTTGCATTTTCCTCAGTGTAACCCTCTGGCCTGCTAAGAACTGCTGGTTTGGTCACTGTTGGGTCTCCCCGGTGTGACCTTGTAGCAGTCACGGTCTTGGCCACTCTTCCCGGCGGGTCCTCCGACCTGTGCCCCCTGGGAGCGGTGTGGCCCGGTCGGTGCTTGGTTGGCTCTGCGTGTCCCAAGGGCCAGCCCTCCCCCGCCCCGTGCCCAGAGCGCGCGTCTGTCACTCGTGCCTTCAGGGCAAGACCTCGCGCTGGGGCTCAGGCCTCGCCGCCGCCCTGCCCCGGGTGCGGGCGCCCGGGGACCCGCTCCTCCCTGACTCCCGGTGTTCCCCTTGCCCATCCGCCCCCTCGTTTATTAGAGAACGCCCTCCAGCCGCTCCCAGGGAGACGGGCCCAGAGAGGTCCATGCTCGTACATGATTGCTCCCCATTCACACCGAATAGGCGACTTCACTGTGCAGAGTTCGAGGTGGGGGGTCCCCCTGCCATTTACATCGTTTCCTGGCTTCGGGGGCCGCTGTGAAGAAGCCAGCGCGCCTCTGACCCCTGGCACTCGGCACAGGAGTCGCCCGCGCGCACTTGGCCCCGCGCGTCCGGGCACCCCTGCCACCGTGCCTGCTGTCAGGCTTTTCCAGCACTGCGACCGTGGGGACAGGCGTTGCCGGGTGTGCGACGGGCGGTCGCAGGAGCCGTGTCATAGGTCCGGGCGGTCACAGGCCCGGCACGGGTTTGTCCTGGCAGCTCAGGGGCCCAAACCCGGGCAGCTGCTGGCAGGACAGCCTAGCCTCAAGGGGTCGCCATGTGGGACCTGAAATGGAAATCTGACTTCAGATCATTTCTTCTGAGGGGGGATCGGTGACCGCCAGTGTCGCATGCGTGTTCACCGTCACGTCCACCTTGAATCTGAAGTCGAGGCGAGCATTTGAGTCACGTGACACCCAGTGCTGCTTTACCGCGCCCCGAATCCAGACCTCCCGCGCGCCTGGGCCGTGGGGGGCCCCTGAGGCGAGCAGGTCTTCGCTTCGGCCTGGCGCCCCACACCCCCTCCCTCGTCCCCTGCAGGGACACCCCCGCGTCGCTCGCTGTCGGCGAGCTTTAGTGGAGCGGCGTGGAGCCCCTCCGAGCGGAGGCCTGACCCAGAACGGAGCCCGGGCAGCCCCAAAACGCTCAGCCCACGGGGCCTGGGGCCTCCTCCCCCGGGCGGAGGCGCGGCCCCGCCAGGCCAGCGCACGGGCGCTGAAGGGGGGTTATTGAGGGGCTGGCTGCTCGAGGCTGGAAAGGCCATGTGTGCGAAGGCAGGTCCCCAGGACGGCCCGGCGTGCCCCGTCCCCGCCGAAGCGTCACCGGAGACGGTATGTCGGCAGCCCTGCCGGGCTTGTCGGGGGGAGGCTCGGGCACGAGGGTCCAGCAAGGGGCCGGGGCCCCACCTGAGCTGCAGCCCGGGGGGGGGGGGAGGTGCGGGGGTCTTTTGTTCGGACGGCCAGGGGGCGGGGGCTGCTTGGAGATGCTGGCCCAAGCAGGGCTTCAGGCCCCACACCTGGGAGCGGGGACGTGGCTCTGTGCAGTTGTGGCCGGGGGCCTGGGCCGCACCCAGCAGCGCACTTCCCACCTGGGTGTGTTGCCCGCATTTAGTGCTTTTGTTGGTTTTCTCTGAATATTTTGTAATAGAGTTCATTTTAGAGCCAGTATTTTGATGTGGTTTGATAAGCAAAGGCCATGTGTTACTGAGAGGAAACGGGCCTGGGCCTGTGGCCGGGGCCGAGCCCCCGGAGCGGCCTGGGAGGAGCAGCCAGAGGTGCTGCGGCCCCCTGTCCGGTCGCAGCTTCGGCCTGGGCGGCCTCTGCAGCCCAGGAGAGGGCAGGGAGCGCGGCTGGGGCCCCTCGAGGTTTTCACCCACGGGGCCCAGCTCCAACCTTTGCAGAGGGCGCCCCCGTGTGGACAAGGGGGTGCAGGGCAGTAGCCGGGCCTGCCGAGCCACCAGCCTGCTCAGGGGCTGGTGCGGCGCCAGGATAACAGAGCGAACAGGGAAGTGCCTTTCCCTGTGCCAGCCTTTCCGTCCCCTGGGGAGGTCCTGTCCCTATGCCAAGTCCCCTCCTGGGGACCCCGCCTCAACCCATGTCCTTCTCTCCGCAGTGTTCCCAACTCCTGCCCGGCCAGCCCCCGCGGAGCCGGGTCCTCCGGCTACCGGTTCGTCCAGAACGTGACCTCGGACCTGCAGCTGGCCGCCGAGTTCGCCGCGAAGGCCGCCTCGGAGCAGCAGGCGGACACGTCGGGAGGCGACAGCCCCAAGGTCTCTCGCTGCCAGCCCAGTGGGCCGCGGGCGGGGGTGGGGCTCAGTGACCGCTGCCGGCGCCCCCTCCCCTGCCCACCTCCTGCTGCTGGCCGGCGTCAGGGTTTTGGTGACAGCCTTTGACAGGAGCCCCGGGTGTTTGCCTTACAACTTTGTGTCTTAGTTCATTCCCATGTGATAGCTTTTTAAAAATATATCTCAGTGCAGCTTTGCTTTATTGACTTTTGAAGTGTGATTTGCTTACAACCCTACGCACTTGTTTTCAGTGCGCACAGCTGCCCCTGGAACAGCCCGGGGTCAGGAGTGCGACTGCTGGGCAGACAAAATCTGTTTAACTTTATATCTATCTACCTATCTATTTACTTATCTTTGCTTAATCCCGGCACCTTCTCCACCCAGCTGCCCAGCGCCCTGCTGCCGTCTGTCCGTCTGTTCTCTCTGAGTCTGTTTCTACTTTGTTAGTTTTTGTTGCTCATTGGACACCACCTAGGAGTGAAATCACGGGATAAGTTCCAAAGCCGGTCTGTCGAGGCGGGGGGACGGCAGCCCTTCCCGGTCAAGCGGGCGCATTGCCGGCCCGCGCAGGTCGCTGGGTCTGGTTCACGCAGACACACTGTCCAGCCCTTGTGCTCACTGGACGGTTCCTCTGCTGGGAGGGGACGGCGGGGGGCGGGCTGGGGAACACGCCTGGAGCCGCGCTGCCGCCCCCGCAGGACGAGTCGAAGCCTCCGTACTCCTACGCGCAGCTGATCGTGCAGGCCATCTCCTCGGCGCAGGACCGGCAGCTGACGCTGAGCGGCATCTACGCCCACATCACCAAGCATTACCCCTACTACAGGACGGCCGACAAGGGCTGGCAGGTGAGCCGCGCCCCCGGCCGCCCGCGGCCTCCTCGGAACGGGAAGGTGCCCGGGCCCCGCCCGAGCCCCAGGACTGCGCAGGCTGCTCCACCTGCCTCGTTACGCTGCGGTGCTCTGTGCGTGCGTTGTGATCACGCCACGTTTGGTCGTACATGTTGTGGACGTGGTCCTTTGTATGGGCTCGTACGACCTTTGTGCCCCCGGGCACGACCAGCGCATCCCGCTCATCCATCTGCCTGCCTAGCGTCTTCCCCGTCTGGGCTCAGGGCAGCTTTTGACCTGGACGCACCCCTCAGCCGGGGCTTGTCTCTCCTACTCCTTCTAAAAGAGTGGCAGTGGGGCTGCACCTTTGCACTTCCCCGTAAGGCAGTGGCCCCGGACAGCCCACGGGAGCCCTCGCCGGTGTGGACCGTGGCCTCCCCTCGCCTCTGGTCGCCCGGCGTGGTCTGGTGTGGGGCGGGCGGAGGTTGCGGTCTGATTTGCTAATGACCGGTGACTCTCTCTGCTTGCCTGCAGAACTCTATTCGACACAACCTCTCCTTGAACCGCTATTTTATTAAAGTGCCCCGTTCCCAGGAGGAGCCCGGGAAGGGGTCTTTCTGGCGAATAGACCCTGCCTCGGAGGCCAAGCTCGTGGAACAGGCCTTCCGGAAACGGAGGCAGAGGGGCGTCTCCTGCTTCCGCACCCCCTTCGGGCCGCTGTCGTCCAGGTGAGCCCAGCCCCGCCGGTGGCCACCCTCACACTGGTATCGGGGTGCTCGTGCCTTGGCTGCCCCGTGACGTGGCGGCCACGGGAAGCTGAGCCACTCGGCACGGCCTTCGGGCGGAGGACTGGAGGGTGCCCAGTGCGGCGCCCGCTTCCCCAACGGCAGCTGCTCCACGGAGGGTGCGCTTCGCCCTCTTTGTTTTAGACCCACCCTGGGGGGGGGGGTTGTGCCCGCCCCATGGAAGCCTCTGTAAAGACACAGCCTCTCGGTCCCCTCGGGGAGAGATCGCTCGGGACCGCAGCTCTGCCTGTAGCCACGCCGTGCGGACTCTGCCCCGGGCTGGGCCGTCCGCGCGGCGCTGCCGGTGGGGCCGTTGGGTGGCAAAGGTGTCGCCCCAGCAGCGTCGGCGCCGGCCCCGCGTGAGGGCGACTGGGCCGCGGCTGTGCGGGCGCAGCCGTGCGGGCGCAGCCGTGCGGGGCCGTTGCTCCCTGGGCGCGCTCACCTCCGTGGCCCCTTCTCCCGCGTTTAGGAGCGCTCCGGCCTCGCCCACCCACCCGGGGCTGATGTCCCCTCGCTCTAGCGGCCTGCAGACTCCGGAGTGCCTGTCTCGGGAGGGCTCCCCCATTCCTCACGACCCCGACTTTGGGTCAAAGTTAGCTGCTGTTCCGGAGTACCGGTACTCCCAAAGCGCACCCGGTAAGAGCGGTTCTGCCCCTGAGCGCGGGGGGTGCCGGGCGCGCGCTGACAGCACCCTCTCCGCGCAGGCTCCCCCGTCAGCGCCCAGCCCGTCATCATGGCCGTGCCGCCCCGGCCGCCCAGCCTGGTGGCCAAGCCCGTGGCCTACGTGCCGGCGTCCATAGTGACGGCGCAGCCGCCCTCGGGCCACGCGATCCACGTCGTGCAGCAGGCCCCCCCCGTCACCATGCTCCGGGTGGTCACCTCCTCCGCCAGCTCCGCCAACGGGTACATCCTCGCCGGCCAGGCCTCGGCCGGGGGCGCCCACGAAGCAGCGGGCACGGCGGTGCTGGACCTGGGCGGCGAGGCGAGAGGTAAGGAGCCGCGCGGCCGCGGGGCTGCGTCACCGGGGGCGGCGCTGCCAGCCTGGGCCTCGGGGGCTACGGAGCCCAGGTGTCGGGGCACAGGCACCTCTGGAGCCGCTGGCTCTCAGCCTCGGCCCCGCTCCCAGCTGCGTGTTTCTCGGGGGGTCTGCCCTTTGAGATCAGCACTGTTCATCCTCCGAAACATGTCTCTCCTCGTGAAATAGCGCTCCCGGCGCTCAGAGCCCCAAGGCCGCGCTGAGTCAGGTAGGGGGTGGGGGGGCTGCCCCACACGGGGCCCAGAGGATGAGTCCTGCCCAGCGAGACGTCCTTAGAAGTCATTGAAAGTAAAAGAGTCACACAGCCCTAAACTAGAAACCTGGACCCCAGGCCATTACGGGTGAGTCCTGACGGTGCAGCCGGCAGGGGACAGGCCCGGCAGGGGACAGGCCCGGCAGGATCGGGGAGGGTGGCCCCTCCGCCCCCCAGCCGCCTCGGTGTCCCTTCCGACACTGTCAAGTGACAGATGCATTTGGGTGAAAGGCAACAGTATGGCTCTAAATGCAAATCACGGCACTCGGATCAATACAATTCCTTTCTCAGGTTACACCTGGGCTGGTTAAAGTGTAAGGTATCTGGACTTTTGTCTAAAACCCTCCAGGGGGGTTTCCTCCCCTTCGGTGCTTAGAGGCCCGGTGCACTGTCCCCGTGGGTGGCCTTCCCGCCGCGGCCGCGGCCACGGGCCCTGATGCGCCCTCCCCCCGCAGGCGCGGAGGAGAAGCCCACCATCGCCTTCGCCACCATCCCCGCCGCCAGCCGCGTCATCCAGACGGTGGCCGGCCAGATGGCCCCCGGGGTCTCCGGACACACGGTCACCATCCTGCAGCCGGCAGCCCCCGTGAGCATCGGGCAGCACCACCTGCCCGTCCGGGCCGTCACCCAGAACGGAAAGCACGCTGTCCCCACCAACAGTTTAGCCAGCAGCGCGTACGGTGAGGCCCTGCGACTGCCACGCCCTCGTTTTAAGCTGGGGTTCAGTCCGCAGCCACTGCCGCAGCAGAAGGCTTTCCCTGTTAAACCAGGGAGCCAGTCGGCACAGTCTGCCTGCTGAGCAGCTGGCACCGTGGCGAGGCTGAGAGCGAAGCCCCCTGTCTCGGGGCTCAGGCCCGGCCGGGTGAGACCAGAGGCCCAGGAGGGACGCCCACGGCGCGCAGCGGCGCCAGGGGCCAACCGGAGGGAGGGCTTCAGGTGCCAGTCGGGTGGTTCAGGATGGGCAGCGTTTGTTGGCAGCCTGCCGACGGGTAGGGCCCCCCACGGAGTGAGAGCGAGGGGCCGCTGGGTAGACCAGGGAGGGGGTGGCTCATGGGAGTCCAACCCCGGGACGGAAGGCCGGCTGCCGTGGGAGCCGGTGGGGACCAGCACCACCAGGGTGCTGGGGCCCAAGGCACTGGGGCTGCTAGGGAGCGGGTTCCTGTGCAGCAACTCGGGCCTGTGTTCAGAACCATCGGTGCTGGTCCCGACCGGTTTCCCAACACAAACCCCCTTTCCTCCCCCGCCAGCCCTCACGAGCCCCCTGCAGCTCCTCGCGGCCCAGGCCAGCTCGTCGACGCCAGTGGTGGTCACCCGGGTGTGCGAGGTGGGGCCTGAGGAGCCAGCCGCCGCCGCCGCCACCCCAGCTCCCGCCGCCACCTCTGCCTCCTCCACCGGGGAGCCCGAAGCCAAAAGGCCCCGGCTGGAGGAGCCCAGCGGGACTGCGACCTCGCAGGCTGGGGTGATCGCTGCCGCCGCCCCGCAGGGGCCCGGGACCGGGGAGTGATGTCGCCGGCGGAGGTGGCGTGGGACGCACGCCCAAAGGAGCTGTGGAGCTGGACCACAGCTGCCGCCACCCGGGACCTCGACGAGCAAGCCCCAGGCCGCCACAGCGCGGTGCCGCTCGGACCGGACGGCCGTCCCCTGCTCCTGCGCTCGTCCGCCCTGCCGTCCGTCTCCCGTCCCTGCTGTGGTTGAAACAAAAACACATAAACGCATTCAGACAGCTGATTGTATGATTCTGGGGCTTCTTTGTTCTCCCTCCCCCTGAGCACCGCCTCGTCCCCAGGCCCCCCGGCCCTGAGCCACGGCCTGCGCCCCAGCGGCCCCACCGACAGAGGCCCCCGAGGGGAGGCAGGGCGCTCACCGCCATCTGCTGAGGATCAGAACCGGCGCAAGAAAGGCGGGTGCAGTCGGACTTCTGACTCTTCATGGCGCCTGCTCCCTCACATAGTGACCTAGAAAGTATCGGATCGGCATTAACAGGGGGAAGGCAGGGGGTCAGTTGGCTTTGGACCCCAAGTAGTTCTTGTTTGGTTGCAACGTGGCATCCGGGCTTCATCCTCCGTCTGAGACACACACAAAGAGATCGCCTGTCTCTGAGGCTTCCACCTGGAGGAAGGGACACCGCCATGGGCCTGTGGGCCTTGCTGGTTGCAGCACCCTGGCAAGACGAACCCTCCGCCCTGCCCGCTCACTTCACGGGGGTCACTGGCTTCCTGGATCGGCACTCGAGGCGAATGCTGTGGGGGGCGCACCTCAGAGCCGCAGCCTCCCGCCCTCAGCGTCCCGCGCTCTGCTCTCTCGCACCTGCATCACGGAAGGGCCAGCCCTGCCCTCTCTGTGGCCTTGACACCCTGGTGCCAGCGGCCACCACAGGAGCTGAGCCGCTCTCTCTGCTGCTTCACCAAGTCGTCTTATCACCCGCAGGCGCCAGGGCTCGGGGTCAGTCGGCACGGGGCCAGCCGCGCGCCCCGCGCCCCGCCCTCGCTGGCCCTGCTGGTCTCGTCTGCGGCAGGGTCACAGCCGTGGGCCACGCGCTGCAGGCGGGGTCGCCGGCTTCCCCGAGGAGGCAGCACCAGCAGGGCCAAGCCCCGCCTCTCAGCTGCTCTCGGAGAACATTCTCAGGAAAGGTGGAGGGGCCTCTGTGAGGAGGTGCTGGTTCCGCACGGTGGACACACCTAGAAACCGCAAACGCATGGAGCTCCGGAGTCCTGGTCCTCCTGCTGCGCCGGCCCACCCTCGGTGCAAGTCCTCACCGAAGGCCGCCTGCCTGACCTGGGCCCGGTGACACAACCTCTGTAGCCCCCCGAGATGGAGAGCGGGCCGTCTCCCCGGCGGGGACCCGGTGGACAGGGGTTGGCTCCGGGGCGGGAACCGTGGGGCACGGTCTCAAGGCAGCGCAGGCAAGACTGGCTTGCGTGTGGAGTGTCTCGCCGGGCTCCGTCTCACAGCCACAGAGTCCCCACGCCAGGCGCCGTCAGTCGCTGTGGACCAGTGCGGCACATCCTCCAGCCTCCTCTGCCCGGCGTGGGGGCCGGGGGAACCCTGTCCTGTGTTCTTTGGGCCCCAAACCAGGCGTTTCTATGGCACTAACCCTTACGCGGGAAATAAGCTCTTGTGAAACATCTCTTGCTTTCAGGTGATTTCAGAGAAACAGGGACAGGATGCAGCCAACTTGTGTGCCGTCCTCAGGGGCAGTCACCCGCCATAGGTGACGCGGAATCGCGCTCCATTCCACGTTGACGTTTCCTGTTGTTTTCTGTAAACTTCCTTTGCCAAGCGTCTGGTGCGTGCGTGCGTGGCTGTGGATGAGAGTGAGCTGGGCTGAGGCCAGTTTCCCACCTCCTGGCCCCGGGCCTCACCGTGAGGGTCTGTAACGAGGGGTCCCTGTTGCTTCGGTATCATTTAATCCGGGGGACACATTTGTTCGTGGGCCGCCAGGACTGCCACAGGCTTGCCTCCTTGGGGTGCGGCGGCGTCGGCAGAGACAGGTGGGGCTGTGGCCCAACCCGACGTCAGCAGTGGCCCCAGCCTTCGTTTGCCTCGCTTTTGAGGTGGTGCTTTTGTCCGTGTTCAGTGACGACCCCACGATACGGCCAGAGGCCCAGGGCAGAGTGGAGGGGGTAGGCGAATGGGCCGGGGGGCGGAGAGGACAGGACTCCACTACGTGACATTCTGCCATGTGGAGGGCTCAGTTCCTGCTGGCACTGAGACGGGACCCTGTGGGGTCAGCACGGACGCCAGGCGGGGTGGGGACAACAGACCAAGGCCTCGGGGGAGCTGCCGCTCTGGTCCACAGACGCTGAGTCCCGGACGTGTTTGGTTTCTGGCCACATAGCGCGCCTGGCCCACGCCAGCACGTGTCCTAGGGCGGTTCCAGAGGCCCCGGGACGGCCAGTGCCTGAGGAGGTTGCCCGGCGCCCTCCGGACCTGGCGATCTGGGACCTGCCACAAGCAGAGGTTGTAGGGGGTGGGCCAACCAACCCCAGCCCAGGCTGGGGAAGCGAAGAGTCAGCTCGGGCGCGGTCCTGCGTCCCTGCAGCCTCAGGCATCCGAGGACCTTCTCTTTGGTCTCTCAGGGGCTCGAGTCTGCGTGAAGAGAGGAGCCGGCCAGAGGGCGCTGGCCTGGCCCCAGGGCCCCTGCTGCTGCCCCCCCCCCACCTCCCACGCACACACCGTCCGGGTCCTGCCGACCAGCCCACACGCCCCCGGCACCCAATGCAGGAGAGCACACTGCACGGGAAGGACGTCACAGAACCATGTGTTTACGTAGCCGAGCGTTTCTCACCGACGGAACGCAGTGTGCTGTTGGGAGTGGCCGGGCTGTCCCCAAGAGCACACCTGTCGTCATTGTCGCGAGCTCTGCATCCTTCCTCCGCACAGAGGCTCTCCCGGGCACGCTCAGCCCCGGGACTCAGTCCGCCCTGCCCCCCCGCCCCCTCAAGTCAGGGGCTGCGGCGCGCCCCCACCCCGCTCTCCCTCCCACTGCTCACGTGTGTGCGCTTTGCTGTTTATTTGTATTTTCTTTTTTCTCCGTTTAAGAACCAAGTGAAATGGAAAAAGGTGAAATGGACTTCTGAGTCACTACAGCGAGGACTCAGTGGCTATCGGCCGGGAGGGGCCAGGTTTGCGGGTCCCCTTTTCTGTGTCTGCATGGTCCTGGCGAAAGATTGGGCTGAGGTCACAGGGTCGTTCCACGGACGCTGTCGATTCCCCTTAAAAGGACCTCCACCTGCAGAGGGCGCTGCGCGACCCCGCTCTGTGTAGACAGAGCCCCTTCGTTGGCAAGTTCAGAGTCCAAAAGGAGGAGAAAGCTTTCCTTTGGTTTGGGGGTTGATTTCTCACTTTGTAGAGACAAAGAGCAGCCCTCACTTGAACAAGGAAAACTTAGCCGCAGGCGAGGACGTGCCGGAGAAAGGGTTTCCCCAGCGCTTTAGTGAAAGAAGCGAGTACTGTTGATGCAGGTGAATGGCCTGTTTTTCTCCAAAAGCTTCAAATTCTGCTTTGCCCTTGAGTGATGTTGGGGGTGAAGGACTGTCACCGTCTCGGGGTCACACCCACAAATAGCCTCTGCACCCCCTGCTCCCCTCAGAACAGCCCCCCCCCAAGACGCTTCAGGGCGCCATGCACGTAAGCTGCCTCCGTTCCGATGCCGGATAAACAGTGCACTACTTGTTCTAGAATAAGTTACCAAAAATGAATGTGAGGCTCCGCCAGGGAGAAGAGCCAGAGCGGCCACCAAAGCCCCGTCCCCGCGAGGCTGCGCGGCAGCCGCAGGTCAGGTCTGGACGTCTGTCGCGGCGGCCGCGAGGCCCCCCGCGGGGCTGGCGATGAAGGGTGTCCTGCAGCCTCCTGTCACGATACCTCTGCCTGGAGGCGGTGCCCTTCTCTGAGAGTAACTTGAGTCATTCAAATGTGCTGCTATGAAGGGGCACTGGCCTGCAGGTGGCCCCAGCGAGGGTGGTGGCTCAGGCGAGGGCAGGACTCGGCCGCGACTGGGGCTCCTGCTCACTTGCTGTCCATTCTTTTCACATTGTTTTCCAGATCCCTGTCATGTTAAGAGTCCCTTTCCTGAGGCCTTGTTTCCCACGTTAGGGTTTTTAAAGCGCTCGGGACGCAGCGCTTGTCCCCATGCCCCCTGCTCCGGGGTTTGGTGCAAGACTTGGGGCACCTGCCTTTCCTTTTCTTACCAAAGCTGCTGCCTTTGGTGTTGAGGGAGGGTCTGGGTCGGTGCTCGCGGGGGTGTCTTGCTGGCCCCTGGCCCCTGTGGGCTGGCGGACTGCACCGTCCCCCGTGCCCGGCCGGTGGCCGAGTCCGCCCTGGCCGCAAGGGGCGCAGGAGCGCCGCCGTCCTCTCCAGAACTGCTGCTGCTTCCTCTGTCCTCCGAGCCACCCGACCCGGAGTGACAGCCGCTTCAAGCACAGGATTTGGGGATACAACTCCAAGCACTTCCTCAGACCTGGAATAAGAAATAGGCCCATTTCACTGTTCAAAGAAAATGGTTTCACTCTTAGGTTAAAAAGGAAGGCCACTTGCTGAACTGTCTTTTTACCCCACAGGCTTCGCTGGCCTGTGTGGGGATATCTCCGCAGAGGGTCCTCCCCGGCCCAGCCTCAGCCCCCCTTCCGTGGCTTGGCGGCAGCTCAGCCCCGCGGCCGGCGGGCCGTCCCCCTCCCCGCCTACAGGCCCGCGCCAGCAGCTGGCGGGGCTGGCTCCCCCCAGGGGTCCTGAGAAGGCTCTGGAGGCACAAGGCACTTCAAGAGAGTTGAGAGGTCAGGACTCGCTTCTCCATGGCCGACGAGCCTCACCGAGCCTCACACCTTGGGACGTCCACTGCGGCTGCTGTGGGAGGCGCGCTCCTGCTTCTGCCCCGCGCGGCAGGCCTGGCCCCAGGTGTCCAGCATTAGTGGCGGGAGGCCCTCCCGCAGGTGACTTTCGTCAGGCGGGGGGCTGGGGGCTCGCTGAGGCTCAGCTGCCACCAGGGACGCGCGTCGGCCTTTCTCCACAGGACTGAAGTGAAAGTCCCCTCTGTGAATTCATGAGCCTTGGGTATCGTCCTAATGCTGGTGTTGGCTGCTCGTTATTTTAGGAGAGTGAGGGAGCAGCCACTTTATCTCAAGGCACCTCCCCGTGAGGAGAGAGCCACCTGCTTGTCATTCTGGTGGCCGCTGGGAAAGCGGGGAGAGAAGTTCCGGGGCCAGCAGGAGGCAGCACGCTCACTGCCTTGCTTCGGTGGACCAGTGCTGCTGGCTGCACGGGACCTCGCGGGCCCCCACGAGCACACAGCCTCAGGCCACCTTCCTCAAGTCGTCGTCACCCAGTCGCCTCCACAGGGGACCGGAGAGTTATGCTCACCTTTCTGTCCCAGCCCAGTTATTTTAAGAGTCGAGATGCAATGGGAAGGATTCTGGCTCTTCATTCTTTCCTCGGGAACCTCTTCTGGAATAGTTTGCTAATTTGATTCATCCAAATACTCATTGATGGTAGACTCTGGGTCAGAAATCACAAACAGCGACGTGAAGGGCAGGCTAGGCCCAAGAGGGACCCGGCAGCGAGGCCTGCGGTGCGGCTCGGCTGTCACGGTGTGTGCTTCTCACGGGGAGATTTCACCGGCAGCGCACAGCCTTGCCCGGCCGGCGACGTCCCCACCCCCGCCCCCTGCACCAGCCGGGCTGGATGGAGGCCTTACTCTGAAATGGACTTTTCCCTGTGCGGCCTGGTGGGTCGTTAAGCTGATCCTGTGGCCTCCAGCTCTTTGCCTCCACATTTTGCGTTAACTGGTCCGGATTTTTTTTAAGTCAGTAAAAATGGGATTTAAACTCAAACATTTTAAGCTTGGCACTTCCCTCCTTCCTGGTACATCTTAAATTACTCAGCTCAAGTTCTGTCAGGACGGGGGGGCGGGGGGGGTGGAGGGCGGCAGGGCAGACAGTGTGTCCCAGATTCTGTCTCAGATCAGCCGAGTTCAGACCCAGCAGCCTGGTGTACGCGAGGGAGGACTGAACCCAATACTGAGATTTTTTTTTTTCTTATCTGACTGGTAATTCTCCTATAAAGGTAATTTGGGGGGGGGGGTGCTGTTAGGGCTGTGTGGGTATGTATGTGCGAGCGTGTGTAATTTTTTTTTTTACAGTGGCTGTCTAAAGTGTTTTTTACAGTACGTTTAATAATCAATGCTTTAAAAATATCAGTGGTATCCTATAGAGTGGAAATTTAGGTTCTAGAGCCTTGGATGCGACGCTGAGGTCATGTCGCGTTGTTCCACCACTGTAAGTGAAGTCTGGTCTGGGAAACCCGGGGGGGCGTGCCGATGCCCTGCTCCGTGGCGGGACGCCAGCGCCACCCGAAGCCGGAGCGACCACGGCGGCTGGGCCAGCCTGCGTTTCCATTCCTAATGGGATACAGTATTTTTTTAATAAGGAGCCATACTTTTTTTTAAAAGTTTGAGATATGAATGTGATTTCTAATTATATCAGACATTAATGTTTTAAAGCTATAACAAAGTTTAAAATTTCTACTTTTTGTTTTTCATTTATTTTAACTGTTCTTTTATCTATTAAATTGTTGTATGTGGATGGGGAAGTTTTGTTTCTCCTCTTAGCATTTGTTTCTATAACCAGAAATAAAATTATATATTAAAGCAATGACAACAGGGCTCAGTATATCCTTGTGGCTGAGTGGCCACTGAGGGACAGAGACAGATGGGCAGGTGGCCCCCCTCTGTTCCAGGAGAGAAGCAAACTGACAGAGGACGTGGTTTGTGGCCATGCCAGTCAGGTCCTGGACTCACAGGGGGTCCCTGAAGATCAAGCTGCAGCTCCAGGGGCGTGGACGAACCACGGGAGCCTCCCCACTCCCAGACACCCACAGCTGCCCGAGGGGTCCTGGCACCCACCCTGAGCAGCCCTGAGCAGATGTGGGCCTTCCTGTCCCTTTGTGCGTGTTGTTCCAGGTACTGAGGTGGCCTGACAAGGACTCTGCAGTCAGACAGCCTTTGGTGCAAGTGCAGCAGGGTGATTTGAACCTGCAAGAAGCCCCGTTTCTTCAAGTGCAAAGCGACACACACCTCCCTCCCGCTGCCAACACACACACAGAATGTTCTGCAGATTCAGTGCCATCAGCTGCGGTGAAATCAGCCTCTTTTCGCAGGGCCGGCCATTTTCACAACTGAATTACGACGAAGCTGGGGTGTTTATCCTCCCCCACTACCTCTGACTTGGGATTTAATAAAGGTATTTGTCGCAAATACATGTCATCAAACTTCTCAGCAGCACTTAAAACGACCTCTTCGTCTCTTGGCCTCTGAGGCACCGCTCCCTCCGATTGCTTCCCGCTTCCCTGGCCACTCCTTAGCTGGCAGTGGGCAGAGTGGCTTCAACGCCCCGGAGCGCAGCTGCTGATCAGACTCCCCTCCACATACAGGGTGCGACCTTGGCCCCCCTCAACCACTTTTTCAGCGTAAGGTAGTTCAGCCTTCAAATTGTAGTAAATGCTCCTCCGAGCTGTGCCCCGGGTTAGATGCGCTCAATGGTGCACAGTTTTAAGCGCGCGGCAGGTTTTCCAAAAAGACGGCTTGCAGCCGCGCCCTCCGCCAGCTCCTTCCCCTTCCTGCCGCAGCCACCACCGCCGACTGCCGGGCGGGGCCGCAGCCCGCAGCTCGCAGCCTCAGCGTTTGCGGAGTAGTTCCAGGTCGTGCCGAACGGCACCCCACGCCCTGCGGCGCTGTGTTCATGAAACAACCCAGAACTCGGGCCCTGCGCGTCCACCGGGAGCTGTCCTAAGACCCGCGTGCCCGGGAGCCGAGGTTCCGGGGTCTCCCGGTTCCGAGGTGCCGCAGTACCAAGCTGCCCGGGTGCCGCGGTTCCGGGCGGCCCAAGACCGACGGAAGGCGCCCAGAAGCCAACCAGGATAGGCGTCCCGGGCGCAGAGGCCCCGCCCCGCGAAGCCCTGCCAAATCCCATTGGTTGGCGGCCTGCCCGTTTCTGCCCACGTGACGAGGCACGTGACGACACCCGGAAGCCAGACGGGCTCCGTGTCAGGCTTGAGGAGTCGCCAGCGGCTGGGGCGCCGGGATGCTCTCGGCGGGGGCAGAGAGTCTGCTCCGCCAGGCCAGGTGCCCGCGCCTTTCCCTCCGGGCACTTGGTGGGGGTCTCAGAGGGAGGCCTGGGCGCGGCGACTTGGAGGAGCCCGTCTGGCCCCGCTTTAGAGACTCGGGGGACCGGGAGGCCTCGCCGGCCTGGCCCGGGAAGACGAGGTCCGGGGCGGGTGGAGCTGGTCCCCGGAGGTGGCTCCTGAGCAGCGTCCTGAGGATGACTGGGAATGCGGTGGTGTGGGGTCCCCGCTGATTGTTAGGCCTGAGGCTGCTGCAGCTCAAGAGCACAAAGCCACGGAGAGGCTGTGGGGATGGAGCCGTGGGTTTTACCATTTAGAAAGATGGCTCTCCCGCGGGTACATTGGATGGTTGAGACATTGGCCGCCGCCCTCTGCCCGGAGCTGGCTCTGGGCTCCCGCTGACCAGCCGATAGCTCCTTTCTCACCAGCTAACCAGTGATGGGAGGACTAAAACCCCGCAGTCCATCGGTCTGAGGCTCAGTGCTTACTTGTTTATTAGAGGAAAATGCAGCCAGAACCACAAGCCTATGGTAAAGTGAAAAGAAAATTAGATTCTAAGCTGGACCAGTTGGGAAAGATGGGGGTGGTTGAGCCTGCAGTGGTTCTAGTGGAGAGATGTTCTTGAGTACAGATTCAGTTCTAAAGGCTGTGAAGAGGGTAAAAGTCTTCTGTGGTCACATGACCCTTGAAAATCTGCAGGGAATGCTTCGCGGATTTGCAGTGCCCCCTCCCAAGAAGCCCCCCAGAGCCTGTCTTCCCTTCAGTATCCGACAGGGGCTCCAAAATTCAAGTTTCAACATTGCAGTTCAAGTTCTGATACTCTAATCCAAGTCCACGTGAATTTAGGGGCTGCATTCAATGAAAATATCAATAGGTATCTTTAAATACTCACACTTCACTCAACGTGGGACCCGCTCACCCCGGCAGTCTCACAGACAGACACGCAAGAACAGAGAACCACTCAGAGCTCCGCTGAGTTTCCTCTCCCGCCTCACCTTCTACTTAGGGTCGCCCGTTCGTGGACTGGACGGTGGAAGGAATAGCCCTTGCTGTTTAAATTGCTGCTTCTCTGTCTCTGTCTTGGGTGCATGGGGGGTGTGAGTTACCCAGTTTCTGTCGCTTACTGTTTGGGGAAAGTTATTAGTGATCAGGTCGTACTAGCTTTCGCTGTCGATTGTCCTTTAATTAAGCCTGTGGGTTTTGAGAGCACTTTATATGGCTAAGGTTTGGGAGCCAGGGTTTGGAGTGAATTTTAATTTTCAGGTCTTTCAGAGACAGAAAGCAAGGGTGGAAAAAGGCATGGGAAACATCCCTTGTAAGTGAAAGAGGAGGTGAAGAAAGTGGGGTACGGATGGGGGTGTACAGCCAGGGCTGGGAGGTTCCCAGAAGGACAAGAGCTCACCTGGAGCTCAGCACAAGTATTTCAGGTAGAGGACCCGCAGGCAGGGTCAGCAGCTGGAGGGAAGGGCCTGGTGGCTCCCGGGACGTGAGGCGGGGGCCAGGACCCTGAAGTCTCGCTGGCGGCGGCAGGAGTTGGGCGTCAGAAGCCGTGGGGTGCTATGGAAGGGGTGGGGCAGGCGGCCTTTTGGAAGGAATCCTGTGCTTTGGAGGCCGTCCTGGAAGGGGCTGATTTGGGAGGAGGCGCAGCACCATTCCAGGAGGGAGTCCCCTGATAAATGCGAGACAGCCTGGTGGCTCCCCCTGCAGTCTCGTCACCCCAGTTGGAAACAGCCCTGGGCTGCGCCTCTGGAGGAAGGGGTGGGAGGGAGGTGAGGAGCGGAGGCGAACCCGTTGGGTGTGGTCTGCCAGCCTTAAGTAAGAAAGGGGACGCCCTAGGGCCCCCACTTTCAGGTGTTTGTCGTACCTTGTCAGTGCCGGAGGCCGGGAGCATCTTGTCTGTCTCAGTTCAAGGTTTCCTGAGCTCACACATCTGATCAGCTGCCGAAGGGACTGAGTGGGCTTCAGCCACGGCTGGGGGGGCACACAGGGAGGGCAAGAGCTGCCCGGGAGTCCCCGATACACTGACTCACGGCGTGTTACTTTTTTCTTGCTTTTTGGACTGGAGTAGAAACCTACAAGCAGCTTCCATTTTGAGACCCTTCAACATCTCAGCTGTTGTCAATGCTCAATACGTAGGTACTTTAAATTGGCAAGCAAGTTAAGTATTAGAGTCAGGAACTCTAATAGGCTTACCTTACAATGCGCCCTGTGACCTGCTGGGTTGAACTCTTGTTCCCAGAAGGTAACGGCTCCCTGAAGGGACCTTTTGAAAAGCAGCTTCTTGCAGGTTCGATCCCCCTTACTTTTGACTCCTAAGCTCACTCAGTCTGTGTCAGTGCTGCTCCTGGAAGAACAAGATCCCAGTGTGTGGAGTCTCCATCAGGAAGGTTTATTGTCACCGTCTGGGGGTGATGGGGTCCCCGACAGCCCTGTCCGGCAGGGGACGGCAGTGGCCCCAGGGAGAGGAACTAGGTCGGGGACCCAGTCAGCTCGTTTGTCGTGAGAGGCGTGTGGACGGCAGAACTGCCTTGCTCCCCTGACACCCAGGCATCTGCTCAGAGGGGTTCTCCCTGCGGCTGCGGCCGCGGCCACTCTGGTGCAGCCCGGGACGCACCCCCGGACCCTCGGCGCAGCCCCTCGATGCCAGGCTGCTGACAGCGTCTCCTCGGTTCAGGGAGATCCAGGACGAGGAGCTGGAGAAGTTCTGCTCGCGGGTCAGCCAGCTGCTGCGGAGGGAGGACCCGGGGCCCGACGCCGCCCAGGCCCTGCGGAGGCTTTTCCTCATCGTCTCCGCCACCAAATACAACAGGAAGTGAGTGTGGTCGTCTTTGGGCGTGCCCGGCAGGTGGCGTTTGAGTCTGTGTCCCCTTAAACCAGTGCGAACGGTCCCACCTGCCCAAGGGCCCCGGGGGCGGGGGGCGGTGCTGGGGGCCGGGCGCGCTTGCCGTGGCATGAGGTGACGTGGCGCGTGCCCTCCGGGTCCGGCTGCCCAGGCTGGAGAAGACGTGCGTGGACTCGCTGCAGACCACGCTCCTGCGGCCCTCGTGCCCCGAGCAGCTCCAGCTTCTCTGTGCCGCCATCCTGAGAGAGACGGCGCCCTGCCACAGCCTGAGCCTGCCCTGGGGCCACATCCAGAACACGCGGCAGCTGAGCTTGGTGGCCTCCGTGCTCTTGGCCCAGGTAACGTGACCGTCTCCGCCCAGGCTGGCCTCCCTGCCCGAGGGGCCCTGGGGCCCTGGAGAGGAGCCGTGCCGGTATGCGGTCCCCACGCTGGTGGCCCCAGCCACTGCTCCTGTATCTGGACCAAGCGGAAGCCCCGCCCCCTCCCCAGTCTCCTTCCTTTGGGGGGGGTTGTAGGGAAGCAGCCGGAATGCTGTGAAGGCTCATCCAGGCCCCCGGGCCCAGGCGGCCCGGGTGACCTCCGAGACGGCCACGAGAGGGAGCGTGACAGCACCCCGCTGTCAGCGGGCGCCCCTTGCAGGTGTCTCAGACCCCGCCTTTGTGTGATTCTCAGGGTGACAGGGCGCAGGAGGTTGGCAGTGTGGGCCAGCGTGTCTTCAAAGTCCTTGAGAGCCGGCAGCCCGAGGGGCCCAGTCTGAGGCCCCTCCTCCCGGTCGTGGCCAAGGTTGCCAGCCTCGCCCCGGGCTCCCTGCACGAAGGTACCCGCCCCCCTGAGAGGCTGGGGACCCCCGGGGCGGGGGGATGGGTGGAGGCTGTTGCATCTGGGTGGGCAGGGGGGGCCTGAGAGCGCGGGGCTCGGCCGGGAGCTGCTGCTTTGCAGGAAGACCTGGGCGCCCAGCGGCCGGAGTCTGCGCGGTGTCTGCGGGGTGTCTGTGAGCTGTGCCTGGTTTCCCACAGCACCGTCCCTGCCCCCTATAGGCCAGATCAACCTGCTCAACAGGCGGCTGGTGGACTGGCTCCGCTACGCCAGCCTCCAGCAGGGGCCGGCACACCCCCCCGGCGGCTTCTTCTCCACGCCCAGGGCCCGGCAGGTGAGCTGGGGGACGCTTGGAGTCAGGGGTCCCGGGCTACCTCAGCCAGCCTTGCCTGCAGGGTCCTGTGGCTCCTCCTACCCTGTCTTCCCACCTTCCCTGGTTCCAGAATGGTCCTTCCTTCCCGTCTCCACCCAGCGTGGGGTGGGGGCAGTGCCTGGGGCCCCAAGCCCGTGGCACTCTGGGCACCTGTTGAGGCCAGGCCAGCCGGCCGGGGTCACTTGTCTCGCAGATGCCCGCATTTACGCACCTCGCAAGGGGTGGGCTCCCCAGTCCTAGGCGGTCAGGGTGGGCCAGGCCTTCCGTTCTCAGCCGGCCCCTCCCCGAGTGCGCCCGCGCTCCCTTGCCTCCCGCAGCCGGGCCCTGTCACCGAGGTTGACGGAGCCGTGGCCACCGACTTCTTCACGGTGCTGTCCGTGGGCCAGCGTTTCACGGAGGACCAGTGGCTGAACGTGCAGGCCTTCTCCATGCTGCGGGCCTGGCTGTGGCGCGGCGGCCCCGAGGGCCCGGGCGCCCTGGACGCAGGTGAGACCCCGGGGGCAGCCCCTGGGAGATGTGGGCCCCTGGGCCCCTCCCGAGACAGGTCGGGGGGCCGTTCTGGGTGGCCCCTTCAGACGTCCGCGCGGAGCCCCTTCTCCGGTCTTGCCAAAGTGGAAACCTCAGCTGCACTGCGGTTGTCGGGGCGGCGCAGGCGGCCGGGCAGGCCACACTGCCCTAGGCCTGGTCCAGGGACACCTGCCGCGGCGGCTCTCCCAACGTCCCCTGGGCCCCATCCCGCTGAGCGGCTGGGCTTCTCCCGCAGACGACAAGTCGGAGTTGGAGGGCTCCGCCCTGTCCGTGCTGACCGCTGCCTCCGCCGCCAGCCGCCCGCTGCACCCCCAGGAGCAGCTGCGGGAGAAGGCCTTCGAGTACTGCCAGCGGCTCCTGGAGCAGAGCACCCGGCGTGAGTGCTGGCGCCGCCCCTCCCGCAGGGCTGGGTTGGGCACGCAGGGAGCCGGGCCCCAGCGGGGATCCTCCCAGGGACTGAGCACGGGACACCCCGTCCCCAGCCTCTGCAGGGCTGCGTCCCCTGCACCGGTCACACCTCCCCTGGGGACGACTCCACCAAGCCCTGTCCTACCCCCACCTCCCCCAGGGGGTGGTCCGCCGTCCGCTCCTCGAGCTTCCGACCCCCCTGCGCCTTCCGTTTGGCGGTCGTGATGCTGGCCCACGGACCGGCCACCCTCCTTCCTTCCTTCCCCCAGGAGCCCTGAGAAGGGGGGACGCGGACCTGCAGAAAGCGGTGAGTGCCCGGCACGGGCGGGGCGGGCGGGGCCCCACCTGCCCCCTGACATGGCCTCGGTCCGCAGTGCCTGGTGGAGGCTGTGCTGGTGCTGGACGTGCTCTGCCGGCAGGAGCCCTCCTTCCTGTGCCGCACCCTGTCCTGCTTGAAGGCCCTGCGCACCCGGCTGTGCGCGGACCCCGCCTGCGTGCGCGCGCTGCTGCCGCTCGCCCAGTTCTTCCTGAACCACGGTGAGCCCGCCGGGCGGCCAGGCCTGTGGGGGAGCGCCGTCCCGGCCGGGCGGCCTCGCTCTCCCGGCTCCCCATCTCTGCCTGTGTGTGGCGTTGCCTCGATGGACAGTTAGCACCAGGTGGTGGCAGTTTTAAAACAGATTTATGTAGTGAGTTAAAATGTTACCAACTCTGTGCCACCCTTAGAACTCGCTTTGCCATCGGAGTCATCAGCTCCCAAAGAACGTGCCGCCTCACGCCCCTCGGCGGGGCAGCCTGTGGCCTCCGCCCCTGGGAAAGTGGGACACAGCTCAGCTCGTGTTCCCGGTGTCGGGCGGACGTGTCAGAGCCTCTGGGGTGCTAGAGACACGCAGGCCACAGACAGGGACCCGAGACCCTGGGTGGCGCTCCCCAGCAACAGGGGCGTCCTCAGGGTGACCTCTGCCTTTCAGGGGACGCAGCGGCCGTGGACGCGGAAGCCACCTGCCAGCACGTGTTCACCCGGGTCCCTTCTGAGTTCTTCCACAGCCCGATGCTGGCCTTTGAGTTCGTCCAGTTCTGCAGGGACAACCTCCCCCTGTTGGGCAGAAACCTCAGCACCCTCAGGCTGAGCTTCCCCAGCCTCTTCAAGGCATGACGCACGTCCCCGGGCCGGGGGCCGGGGGGCGGGCACAGTGTCCCCAGGCTCCGTGCCGGCGGGGGGCTGGGGGCGGGCCAGCCGGGTGTCGGTCACCATCACAGGTACACTGTGTCACTGTCCGTCGGGCTGGTCCTTCTGGGAAGGCCTGTGTCGGGGCTCCCATCGCGTAAACCTGCGTGGAGCACCACCCTCGCCCGCGTGCTTGGCCCTGCAGTGCCTTTGGCTTTTGGTGTGTCTTCTGTGACCCGTGGTCACCGCTTGGCCTTTTTGGAGTCATTGGAAACTTAGTCCCTCATCGGGAAAATGACCGCAGTGACGTGAGGAAGGCCGTGGAAGTGTCGGCACAAAAGCGAATGCAGAAGCGAAAAGAGCAGTAAAAGACAAATGTGGGAGGGGACACTCTGAGGGCCCTGGGTCCCAGGGAAGTGGGGAAAGGCAGGGGCCAGGCAGACCCCGGCCGACAGCAGCACCCCCCGGACAGCCTGATGGGGTCGCGACCCGCTGGCCCCTGGGGCCCGCCTGAGCCGCCCCACCTGTCCCCACAGCTCCTGGCCTGGAACAGCCCGCCCCTGACCGCCGAGGTCGCGGCGCTCCTCCCGTGGCTGGCCGACGCCGGCACGGCTGCCGAGATGCTGCACGCACTGCTGGACCTGCCCTGCCTGACGGCCGCCTTGGACCTGCAGCTCAGGTGACCAGCCCGCACGAGCCAGGAGGCCCGACCGCGCCCACCCCCTCCCCTGCCCCTGGCACAGGCCCCTCCTCCTGCTGCCCTGGACCTTCTGCCGCCCAAGTGGAGCGCGCCCTGTGCCCCCCTGCTGCCGGCAGCCCAGAGCCCCCAGCCAGTCCTCTGTCAACCGTGCCCCCCGCCCACTCGCAGGTGCCGGGCGCGGCCCTTTCTGGTCGCCCCAGGGCTCTCCACTGGGCCAGGGTGCTGCGCTGGCACAGGGACGCCTGCTCGTGTCTTTCCCTGACTGGGCGCCGGGAGGGCAGGGCCGCGTCCAGCCCCGGGCCCGGGCTGGAGCCGCATCTGAGCCTGGCCTGCGTCGGCCCACTCGCAGGCTGTCACCAGCTGCGTCTGCGTCGGAGGGGCCGCTCTGGGACGCCTCCATCAGGGCCCCCGGCTGCCTGGAGGCCCTCCGGGACCCGCAGCTCCAGGCGCTCTTCCAGCACCTCCTGCGTGCCAAGGCCAGCGGGACCGTGGAGAGGTAGGCCCTCCAGCTGGGGACCCCTGGGCGGGGCTGTGTGGATGGGGCCCCGGTGCCCCTCGGGCCTCACGCCGGCTTGTCTGGAGAGACTGTGGCCATCACTCTGCCCGCTGGGCAGCGGCCACAGTGCCAAGCGCACGGCTCGTGGCGGCATGAATCAGTCTTCGTAACTTGCGTGGCGGGCGTCCCGGTGACTGCGTTCCACTGATGGAGAAACGGAGGCTTTGCACCATGGGAGAGGAGACCTGGGACGGGAACAGGGCTCCCCGCCGCAGCCCCGTGCTGCCCTCCCTGGGCCTGGGGCTCAGGGCCGTCCTGAGGAGCAAGAGGCCGAGGACGGAAGAGGGGCCCGGAGCGCGAGCCGCACGTGGTGTGGGGCGACCTCCTTCGACGAGGGCGAGCCAGCAGCTCAGGACTTGGTCCCGGCCGTGGCGCCTGGACCCCGTCTTCCTGCCAGCAGCGGCCGGAGGGCTCCAGGGGCTGCATGTTCAGGACGCACCAGGCAGGTGGGGGCGCAGGGGGCACTCAGCAGGCTGTACCTGTGCCCCCAGCCTGGCGCCCCTCCACCAGCTGCTGCAGCCCATGGCCGGCAGTGCCCGGGTGCTCCAGTGCGCCGCGGCGGTGCCCGCCCTGCTCCAGGCCTTCTTCGCGGCGGTGGCCCAGGTGAGTCCGCTGCCCGGGTCCCACCGCTGCGGCCCCGCGGCCGGGCCGGCCGGGCCAGGCAGAGCGAGGCGGGAGGCGTTCCTGCCAGGGGGAGGCTGAGCCCTCCTCACTGTCGACCCCAGTTCGCCGACGGGGCCCTGACCGACCAGCTGGCACGGCTGCTCCTGGAGAGAAGTGACGCGCTGTACCAGGTCCCAGGGTACGCAGCCCGCGTGCACCGGTGAGCACCTCCCGTCGTCCACCCGGGGCCCTGCCGCCCCGTCCTGCCCCCGCACCAGCTCCACGGACCCGCCACCTGGGTCGTCTCCGGCCGCTGCAGGGCTGCCACCCAGCGTCGTCCCCAGGCCCAGCCTGGGTGCCGCCCAGACCCTCTGTCCCAGGTCCAGAGTGCCCCTCCCCTCCCCGCAGAGCCCTGCAGACTGGCCGTGCCCTTTCTGAAGGCCTGATACTCGCACTCCACTCAGAGGGCAAAAGCCGAGAGCAGAGCTGTCCCAGCCCCTGCCCGAGGGTTCCTTCTGTCCGCCTGCCGCCTCCTGGCTCCCACCCCGGGTGAGCGGTGGGGCTGGGGTCCGCGAGGGGCGGCCTGCAGCCCCCAGTGTCCCCTCCGGCAGGGTGCTGAGCTCCCAGTTCCTGGCCCTGTGCAAGCAGCATCCCCCACTGGTGGTCGAGCTGGCGAAGGAGCTCCTGGAGTTCGTGGGCAGCGGGCGCGGAGTGCGCAGCGGCGGGCACATGCTCACATCTGTGGTAAGGCTGGGCTGCCCGTCCCCTCCAGGCACGTGGGCCTGGGCAGGGCTGAGGCGCTGTCCCCGCAGGTGTGGGCCGTCGGCGAGTACCTGTCGGTGAGCTGGGACCGGCGCTGCACCGTGGACCAGATCAACAAGTTCTTTGAAGCCCTGGAGGCTCTGCTATTCGAGGTCACCCAGTCCCGCCCCTCGGCCACCCTTCCCAAGTGCCCCCCTCAGCTCATCGCCACACTGATGACCACGCTCACCAAGCTGGCCTCCCGAAGCCAAGACCTGATCCCCAGGTACAGGCCAGGGTGGGAGAGGGGACCTGCTGGCGCCCTGTGGGGAGAAGGGGGCGGCGCTGGAGGCGTCCTGGTCCCTGAGGCGTCAGCACGCGGGACCCGGGGCACGTGTGGGCAGCGCGGGCTGGGTGGGCGCTGCCTCCTCAGTTCTCCGTGCCAAGGCCCCCAAGCTGGGCACCGTGGGACCCCTCGCCATGCCAGGGCTGCGTCCGCCGCTGACCGCTGGGCTCCCTTGTCCCCAGGGTTTCTCTGTTCCTGTCCAAGATAAGGACCCTGGCCCAGGGCCCCGCCATGGGCTCCCTGGGCTGCAGGGAGGACGCAGGAGCCATAGGCACGCGGGCCACCGAGCTCCTGAACCTGCTGAAGATGCCCAGCGTAGCCCAGTTCGTGCTCACGCCCAGCGTGGGGCTGTCCGAGCCCCGTTACCACCGCGACACCAACACCGCCCTGCCACTGGCCCTGCGCACAGTCAGCCGGCTGGTGGAGAAGGAGGCGGGCCTCCTGCCCGGGTGAGGGACAGTGGCCAGGCAGGTGCCCGCTGGGGCCGAAGATTAAGAAGAACCTGGTATCAGGACCCAGCCAGAGCGTCCGCGGTCAGAGAGGAAACCGGGAGCGGCCTGAGCCCGGGGTGGCCCGGGTGCCATGCCTCGGGGCTGGTCGAGGCCGCCACGCCTGTGTCTCCGAACCCTCCCCTGGCGACCATGCCCAGCAATGCCGATAAGCAGCCCTGGTCTGTGGCCCTAGCACCGGGGGCTGGACGCAAGTGGCGGGGAGCGATTCCGCCAAAATAAACCTGCTCTGGAAGTTCCTGTGTGGACAAGGCAGGACTGTTCCCTCCCTCCGTCAGCCCCCAGAGGAGGGGCCCGATACAGGGCCCGGGAGGGGTGGGGTAGCCAGCAGACAGCCCAAAGCTGCTTTCGATCTGGGGCGCCATCGGGTGCTGCCCGAGAGCTGGCCCTGGGGCGTAGGGGGCCTGGGGGGCGGGACGCCTGGGGCAGCGCCCTCCTTCCCACTCTGCACGTGTCAGGGTGTCCTGGGAGTGGCGGGTCGCTGATGCCCGCCGTCAGGAAGGACGCCAAGTGGCCCCCAGAGGGGACAGCTGACGTGGGGGTGCGTCTAGCCAGTGCGCTCCTTCGCTGCGCCTCCCTACGCTCCTGCACAGCTCAGAGGCGCAGGCGCGGGCTCCGGGGTCTGCTGGGTGGGCTGCGGGTGCTGTCACCTCGGCCAGCCTGCAGCCCCCTGCCGTGAAGAGGGAGGGCAGACCCACCAGGCAGGAGGCCCTCACAGGCAGGGCTCCTAGTGACCGTGACACCTACCGCCGAGGGCTTTACCCAGAGTGTGTCCGCGTTCGCACTGGGATTGTCCTCAGTGGGGAGACGGTCGCTCTGCTCCGCTCCGCTCCGCAAGGAGGGGAAAGAAACGGCCGCTTCCATTCAAAGTCCCCGCCCACCCTGCAGGTCACTCCTCGGCCACCAGGCGGTGCTGCCGCTCCGTGAACCTCGAGCCGCACCCCCACCACCTGCCGCGGCCCCGCCCCTCACCGGCAGGCCCCACAGGCTCCGCCCCCGGCCCGTGCACCGCCCCCCCCCCCCGCCACGGGCGCTCCAAGGACACCCTGAGTCCCCCAGGACAGCGCAGACCCTGCCCGACGCCCTCCCTGCCCACTCCCACCCCGCTTGGCCCTCGGGACTAGCGTCCAGGGGCCGGGGTTGCGGGTGTTTATCTGGGTCCCGCGGGGCCCCCACTTGGCTCCGCAGCTCGCAGCAGTTCGGCGGGGTCGCGCTGTGTCCCCTACCGCAGTGTCGCAGTGAGGGATGAGAATGGCAGTTCCAGCCGCCAGCCTCTCTGAGCTCGTGCGCCCTCTGAATTCTGTCGGAGCTGTAGCGTTTCTTTCCTCTTATGTTCAATCATACATTTAAAATGACTTTAAAAAATACATTGACCCGGCATTTGGGAACTGCGTGGTGGGAGGCCTCGGCCAGGCAGGGGGTCCCGGGGCAAACACGGACCCGCAGCCGCCCGTGCGCCTCTCCTCTGTGCCCGCGAGGGGGCGGCGCAGGGCCCAGGAGCTGGGGACCACCAGGACACTGTCATGGGGGGCGCTCCCCTTGCCACGTGCGGGCTGCCTCTGCAGCTGAGTGGCAGGACCCCTAGTCCCCAGGGTCTCCGATCCCCTCAAAAATGAAGGCCCCGGCCCAGAGCCTGGCCATGGGTTCCCCGTGCTGCGGGGAGGACACGAGCCACCCGCTGCTGAACCGGCTGAAGACACGCAGCCCGTGTGGAGGTAGGCGATCCAGCCCATTGTCACTGCAGCCCCGACGCGGCCCTGCCGCTGGCCCTGCGTGGTCGGCCGGTCGGCCAGTCGGCCGCAGGTTAACAGCCTGGCACCAGGGCCCGGCCGTGGCTGCCGTGGGCAGAGAGGGAGGCCGGCGCTGGGGTCCTGAGCCCCAGAGGAGGCCCGCACCCTGCAACCTTCCGGGCACCTTGACCGCGGCTAAGCCCGCCTCCCAGGGGCAGCCTGCACGCGGCAGGGGCTCTCGCCTTTCCCCGGGGCCCGGCCGCCCCATCCCGGAGGCCTCTGCTGCGCCTCGTTCCCAGGCGGGGCGAAGGTGCACAGTTGGTTACAGCCATCCCTCCGTCACCATGTCCCCGCGTGCCCCCCAGCCTCTCCCACGCTGGCCGGCAGGGGATGAGCCCTGTGGTGCCCCCACCACGCACCCCCGGGGCAGCCCGGCACAGCACCCACCCCGGCTCCATGCACTGCCCGAAGTATGAAAGATAGTTTATTGAACCTATGCGTCCCCATTAAAATTCTCCAACATAAAAGCTCTGTAACAAACATCACAACTCAGTGTTATCTGTCATATAAATAAAATATACAGTAAGATGTACATTATCCACAGGGTGAGGGGCGGCCAGTGTCCCGAAGGGGACGCACCCGCCGCGGAACAGGCTGCCGAACTTCCGGGCCTTAGGGCGGGGGCGAGCGGAAGCGGATCTTCTTGGCTGTTTCCGCGTCAGACTTGGCCACCAGGAACCTCACCTTCGCTCCCCCGTGTCGGATCAGGTCCACCGCCCTGGGAGCAGCCACGGGGTGAGGACCGTGTGCACCAGCACCCCAAGGGGGCGGGGGTGGGGGGGCAGAGCCTCCAGGAGGTGCCCGGCGAGGGGGACCCGAGCCCCCGCCCCCAGGGGTCCCCGGGGCACGGGGCTGTGCGAGGGCCAACCCCCACCCCAAGGCGCTAGACCCCTGGTCGGCAAGACGGGAGGAAAGGGGGGAGGTGGCCACAGAGCTGGGCTGGGGGCGTGGCCTCTACGTGCTCCTCTCTCAAGGGGGCCACGGCAGGGCTCCTCCTGCAGGCGCACTGCCCGGAGTGGTGGGGGAGGGGTACCTCGGGTAGCTGAGTGCCTGGGGGTGGGGGTACCTCAGGTAGCTGACGCCCGCCAGGCTGCTGCCGTTCACCTCCAGGATGCGGTCGCCCAGCGACAGCCGGCCGTCGGCAGCCGCAGGGCTGCCCGGGAGCAGGGTCTGGATGTAGAGGCCGGGGGCGCCCAGGGGCGTGTGCTGCGGGGGACAGAGCGGCCTCAGGGCTGCGTGGGCCCCACCAGAAGGGGGGCCCAGCGATGGCCACCTCAGCCCCCCGCTCAGCAGAGGGGCCGGCCGGCCCAGGGCCGTCGATGCATCTGCAGCACCAGGCGCTATCCGCCCCCCCAGGCCCAGGCAGGCGCCCCGAGGCCGGGGAGGGGCTCCTGCCCAGGCCTTCCCCTCCTTTCACACTCCGCGGAGAGGCCCTGCCAAGCCCCTGGTCCCAAGTTCCCTCCGCCGGTGACCGGTGGCCGTCCTGGGTACGCAGGACACCATCAGGGCACAGGAGCCCCGGGGCCACTCACCAGCCCGTCGATCAGGCCCATCCCCAGCCCAGAGGGGCCTCGCTCCAGCTCCAGCAGGAAGACAGAGCAGAAGTCCTGGGTGCTGGAGGGGGCCGGCGGGGGCTCGTCCTCGGAAGCCGCACAGTCTCCTGGGTGGGCAAGAAAAGGGGCAGGTAAGGGGCCTGCGCCTGCCCCCAGAGTCCAGGGCCCTGCCCTCTGACCCTCCCCCTGCTCCAGACCCCTGGCCCTCAGCCCTCTGTGCCGAGGGCCCATCCCCTGGGGGTCCCTTCCTCCGCCCTGTGTGGGGAGCGGCTCTCGGTCCCCGGGGGGGGGGGCGGGGGGGCTGTGAGAGGCCAGCTGCCCCGGCTCCCGCCAGACAACACTCAGCACATGCCCCCAGGGCCTGGGGCCGGGGTGCCGGGGGCGGTCTCACCTTCCGGAGGGGCCCCTCGGAGGCCACCGGGCCCGTCCCTCCTCCCCTCCAGGAGAGCTTTCCCAGAGGAGCCGCCGGGGCGGGGCCAGTCAGGGACAGCGGGCTCCAGTGGGGTGCTGGGGGGCGTGAGCAGGCAGGAGGAGTCCGTGTGCAGGGGCCCCGCCTGGGGGCCCCCGCGGCTCCCCCGGCCCGGCTGCCTTTCCAGAGGGCCCTGCGCCCGGGGAGCCCGGGGGGAGGGAGGAGGGTGCACTGAGCCGGCTTCACCAGCTCCCCTGCTGGGGCCCCTGGGAGCAAGGGGGCAGCTCTGGCCCTCGGGGTGCCTGTCCGGTGTGGGATGGCGCGGGCCCTGCTGGGGAGAGAGTGAGATCAGGCACCAAGCTCCTGTTGTGCCGGGGGAGGCAAGGGGCCCCCCCGCCGTCCCTCCCGCTTCTCCCCCATGGCCACCAGCCAGGCCCTGGGCCTACCCCACCATCCAAGCCAGAGCCGCAGACCAGCTGCTCAGCGGTACCTCAGGGACCTGGGGCTGGGGGGGCCCGTCGCCGGGGCTGGGCTTGCTCCGCAGGCCCCACAGAAAGTGGCGCACATAGAGCAGGTGCCGGTAGATGCTGTCGTCGGGGCAGTCCGCCTCCAGGTCCACCTGGAAGCCCTCGCTCGGCAAAACGATGGGTGGGGGGTTCTCGTAGGACTCCAGGACGTCCTCTGCGGGGCGGGACGAGGGCTGTGTGGCCGCCCGGCCCGGAGGCCGGCCACCCGCCCCTCCCGACACGGGGGACCAGCCCAAACTGCACTCTGGTCCCTTCTGGGCCCCCGCTGCTCTGTCCGGGAGCCGAGCCACTCAGCCCAAAAGCCTGCAGTCCTGAGCTGACACGTGGCTCCTGGGCCCACACTGACTGCGCCCCGCCCCCCAGCACCTGGGACCAGACCACCCGTGCGCATCACGGCCTCTGTACGTGAGCGTGGGCACCTTCCAGCTGGCGGGAAGGCCTGCTCCCCACACGGGCCACGGCAGTGACCGGAGAATGGGAGGGCAGATGCCGTCCCACGGAGCCTGGGGTCCTGCCGGGAGGGGGCCTCTGCGTCCCCACCACCCCTCGGGGAGCAGCCCCACGGTGCCCGTGTCCTTGGCCACCCCTTCTTTCCCACTGCTATTTGTGCTGATAATACTGTACATGATTCTAAAAAGAGAGGCATGTGTCTGATCTATGAAAATACACACGTGTGCACCCACATCCACATGTATGAGGGTGTGTATGAATATGCGTGGGGCTTGGTGTTAGGCATGGTCC